TTCCAGCAGTTGCTGGGTTTGGGGTGGGAAATCCTTTTTTGGGTCGGGGTATGGCAACCCCCCACTCCCTCGTGGCCTAGTTCCTACCCTGCTTCCGCCTCTGGGACACCAGGAAGGGACCCCTCTTCCCCTGTCCTTGCATAGGGCATTGGTTGAGCAATGTTTCCTCTATGTTGTTTCCAACTGTGTGCGGAATAAATTTAATGTGCACCAAAGCGTGTGTGGACGTGCACCACCAATAGCCACACATGCTGCCGGCTGTGGGGAGGTTGGGGGTGCTCTGCTCATCATTTGAATGTCTCCTCGGCGGCCGCACCAGCGCTCAGCCGACAAGGAACACTGGCTGAGGGCCCCAGCCGCGCGTGGGAGATGACGCCCGTGGCAAAGGCTTTGCAAAATAATACCCACGCAGCAGAGGGCCTGTAGAAGTGTTTTGGCACCTAATTCCCCCTGAAATCCAAGGGATTTGGGCACCTATGCGCCTCTGAGGATCTGGGCGTAGGCAGAGTCCCTTCTGCTCCCCCATGGCTCTGGCCTCCTGACCCAGGATCTCCAAGCACGTTGCTGACCGTGATTCACCCCTCCCAGCCAGCCAGCAGCTCTGTCTGCCTCGTGGGGGGCTGGGATACTGCGGGGTGACTTGCCCAAGGCCATACAGTTTGGTCACCATGGCAACAAAGCTGGAGTCCTGGTGGACCGGGCCCTGCTGTAACCACTCTGCAGCGCTGTCGAGAATGAAGGCTCCTCCACGCAAGCAGGCAGGGATGTGCTGTCTGCCCTCTTGGCTCCAGCCCTCACTTATGGGGCTCCTGTCCCCACTGGGACAGGGACACTGTCCTCCGGAGCGAGCACGGGGGCCTTCCCAGGGCGGCGGCGAAGTGCGTCTCAGTGCCTGCTCTGGGGTTGCATCCCTCCCCCACGGGGGCTGCCTTCCGCCTGCCTTTCTCATGTGTCTGCGGAGCCCTCTGGTCGCAAACAGCGAGGCAGGGCCCGGCACTGGCTTGGGAGAGGAGCCGGAAGACCTCCCCTACTCCCAGGTTCCATCCCCACCGCAGGAGGAGACGGCCCCAAGTCTGGGACTGCGCCCCAGGGCGAAGCCAGGCCCAATTTCCCAGACCCGCTTTGCTCCCAGGGACT